AGATACAATTCTCACTTCTCTCAGACTACAGAAAAACTGATGATGGTTGGTTCCTGTGGGTCACATGGCAAACAGGAGAGAGTCAGCAGTGGCAACCCACCCTCCAAGTTGCATGATGGGCACAATAGTGACTTGTGGAAGGCAGACTAAGCAGGACATGGACAAAGCACTCGTGATATATCTTTATTTTCTTTTTCATCCTCTACATTTTTTGGGTTGCCCAAAATGCTTTGGTGGGCTGCAAGCAGCCCATGGGCTGTATGTTGTGCAGGTCTGTACTAAGGCATAAAAACCTCACAGTCCAACGCAGAAAGGCAGAAATATTAATTGTATCCTTTTCAGATCATGATGTAATAAAAATTACATGTTAATAAAGGGCCATGGAAAGATAGACTAAAAATTAATTGGAAACTAAATAATTTAATTCTAAAGAATGAATGGGTCAAACAACAAATCATAGAAACAATAACTTCATCCAAGAGAATGACAATAATGAGACAACATACCAAAACTTATGGGATGCAGCTAAAGCAGTTCTTATGGAAAATTTTATATCTCTCAATGCTTACATGAATAAAATAGAGAAAGAGGAGATCAATGAATTGGGCATACGCCTAAAAAGGCTAGAAAAAAAACAAATGAAAAATCCCCAATTAAACACCAAATTAGAATTCTGAAAACCAAAGGAGATATTAATAAAATTGACAGTAAGAAAACTATTGAACTAATAAATAAAACTAAGAGCTGGTTTTATGGGGAAAAAAAACCAGTAAAATAAATAAACCTTTGGTTAATTTGATTTAAAAAAAGAAAGGAGAAAACCAAGTTATCAGTATCAAAAATGAAAAGGATGAATTCACCATCAATGAAAAGGAAATTAAAACAATAATTAGGAGCTATTTTGCCCAATTGTATGCCAATAAATTTGACAGTCTTGGTGAAATGGATGAATATTTACAAAAATATAAATTGCCCAGATTAACAGAAGAGGAAGTAAAATACTTAAATAACCCCATCTCAGAAAAAGAAATTGAACAAGCCATCAATGAACTCCCTAAGAAAAAATCTCCAGGGACAAAGGGATTTACAAGTGAATTCTACTAAACATTTAAAGAACAATCAATTCCAATACTAGATAAACTATTTGGGAAAATAGATGAAGAAATCCTACCAAATTCTTTTTATTATACAAATATGGTGCTGATACCTAAACTGAGAAGAGCCAAAACAGAGAAAGAAAATTATAGACCAATTTCCCTAATGAATATAGATGCAAAAAGTTTAAATAAATATTAGCAAAGAAACTACAGCAATTTATCACAAGGATAATACACTGTGACCAGGTAGAATTTATACCAAGAATGCAGGGCTAGTTCAATATTAGGAAAACTATCAGCATAATTTATCATATCAACAACAAAATTAATAGAATTCATATGATTATCTCAATAAATGCAGGAAAAGCTTTTGACAACATACAACACCTATTTCTATTAAAAAAAACACTAGAGAGCATAGGAATAAATGGAGTCTTCTTTAAAATTGTAAGTAACATCTATCTAAAACCATCAGCAAGCATTATATGTAATGGAGATAAGCTAGAAGCATTTCCAATAAGAGCAGGGTAAAACAAGGATGTCCATTATCACCACTGTTATTCAATATTGTACTAGAAATGTTAGTTTTAGCAATAAGAGAAGAAAAAGAAATTGAAGGAATTAGAATAGGCAAAGAAACAAAGCTATCACTCTTTGCAGATGATATGACAATTCTACTTAAATTTACTTATTCAGTGCCATACCAATCAAACTACCAAAATATTATTTTATAGAGCTAGAAAAAATAATAGAGAAATTGAGAGGATGCCCATCTATTGGGGAATGGCTGAACAAGTTGTGGTATATGCATGTAATGGAATACTATTGTGCTATAAGAAATGATGAACAGGCTGACGTCAGAAAAACCTGGAAAGACTTGTATGGTCTGATGTTGAGTAAAGTGAGCAGAATCAAGAGAACGTTGTACACAATAACAGCTACATTGTGCGATGACTAGTATTGATAAACTTAACCCTTCTCAGCAATACAAGGATCTAAGACATCTCCAGAGGCCTCGTGATGGAAAATGCTATCCACATCCAAAGAAAGAACTATGGAAATTGAATTGCTATTTTTTTCCTCTTCTGTTGAGTTTTGTTTCCTCTTTCTGGTGATTTCTCCTATTGGTTTTAATTTTTACTTACAACATCACTAATGTGAAAATATGTTTAATAGGAATGTAAAGGTATAGCCTATATCAGATTGTGCACCGCCTTGGTGGTGGGGAGGAAGGGGGAGAAAAATTTTAAACTCAAAAGCATATGGAAGTGATTGTTGATAAATCAAAATGAGTTAATAAAATTTTAAAAAAAATTTTTTAAAGCTAAATGTTGGAGATGTGGGAAAATTGGAACACTAAAGCATTGTTGGTAGAGCTGTGAAATGATCCAACTATTTTAGAGAGCAATTTGGAACTATTCCCAAAGGGCTATAAAAATGTGCATACCCTTTGACTTGCAATAGCACTCCCTAGGGCTGTATCCAAAGAGATCATAGAAATGAAAAAAGGACCCCCACGTACAAAAATATTTATAGCAGCCCTTTTTGTGGTGGCAAAGAATTGGAAATTGAGAGGATGCCCATCAATTGGGGAATGGCTGGACAAGTTGTGGTATATGAATGTAATGGAATACTATTGTGCTGTGAGAAATGACGAACAGGCAGACTTCAGAAAAACCTGGAAAGACTTGTATGGTCTGATGCCGAAAGTGAGCAGAACCAGGACAATGTTGTACACAGTTAACAGCCACATTGTGCAATGACTAATATTGATAAACTTAACCCTTCTCAGTAATACAAGGATCTAAGATATCTCCAAAGGCTTCATGATGGAAAATGCTATCCACATCCAAAGAACAAACTATGGAGTTTGAATGCAGATCAAAGCATACTATTTGCTATTTTTTTCTTCTGTGGAATTTTGTTTCCTCTTTCTGGTGGTTCCTCCTATTGGTTCTAATTCTTACAACATGACTAATGTGAAAATATGTTTAATAGGAATGTATATGTATAATCTATATCAGATTGTGCACCATTTTGGGGAGAGAGGTGGGGAAGGAGGGGGAGAAAAATTTAAAACTCAAAAGCTTATGGAAGTGATTGCTGATAAATCAAAATTAATCAATAAAAAAATGAGGATAATAAAAACAAATCTATGGACGCTCGCTGGATAAAATTATAACACAACTATGTCTCTAAGTCAACTTCGGATCACCAGACCAAAGTTCAAAAGAATTTCCTTTTGTGTTTGTATGCAATTCATTAGCTTCTCTAAGCCAAATGCTGCCAAGTCTCTTTGGGTTTTGAATGAACTCATACATTCACTTTACATGTAAAACTCCAGAATGTTATTTTCTTAATTTCTAATGGTTTTTTTTTTGGCATTAGGTTATATTAAACCGGAAAACTGAAAGCTTTTGGACCTTAATAAATACTAAGGATGAAAAGGGTTTTTTTGTCATCTTGTTTTTGCTAATTCTGATTTATATGCTGTTTATTATCTCTTAGAGTATCCTAACCTTTTTGGAAGATTTAAGACCTAGTTTGTTCAAACTGCTTTTTATTTCTTCCCACATTTATTGAAGTACACTTGATTCCTGTTGATTGATGCTTGCTATTTAGTATTTAAGAGAATGTTCTATATTTTATATGATTTGCTTCTCTACATTTTTGTTCCATCTCCACCATAATCCTTTGGATCAAGCTTTCTATTATGCTATACAGACAACTGACTTACTGTATTGTGAATCTATATATCTCTCCAGAGATATGGTCCCTGATCACTAATGCCTGCTATATGTCTCCACTGTTTGTACTTTGCTAAGGGAAATGAGAATGTGGCCCAAAGAAAGCATTCATTCAGTTGTGGGAGTTGTCTTAGATGAAACTGTCCATTGTGGGTATGTGTGACTCAAAGTGAGGGAGATCATAAGCAGGATAAAAATCTGGAACACGGAAGAGTTGAGGATGAGTGGAGATATGAAAATACCAAAAAAGAGACGATAGGTAGCAGTGACAAATTTTATCTACCTTGAAATGTTGCATTCTCTTCCTCCCAGACATCAGATGGGAAAAAGCTCTTCCATTTAAAAAAAGAGCCCAGCTGCCTTGGGTACTGCCCTGGACAATTTGGGATGGGCATGGGACACCTGAGCTGACTTTTTTAGTATAGATACATGGCCCTTTTGCCTCTTGAGGGACCTTTGATGTGCTGCCATCAGGTTGAAGGGTGGGTTTTTGATGGGGGCAGCAATGCTTGCATACATGTGGCTCAGAAGAATGTTGGTGGCAAGTGACAACAGCTCTGGGCAAGAGAAGGAAATACCACCTGATACTGAATTGGTAACAGAGGCTTATAGCAAATATTGGAAATAATTCTTGGTTAAATTAATAGGCCATTAATGGCTCAGGGAAAAATGGCCAGAGAGCAGTAAGGTCAACTCTGTGTAGAGGGACAAGTTAGGTTTTCAAAAGACTGTTTGTATTCCTTAATGTTAGAGACACACTTTATGAAGGCTCTTCTCCCCAAGCATCCCAGCCGAACTGTAAGTGTCCCCTAGAGTGCACCAACCTGAAGCTGGAGGGTGAAGTGCTTGACCTACCTTGTCTCTTGGTCAGATCCTACAAGGATATCACCTTACCAAGGGTATGGGCCTAGCTCCTCCAAATCTCCAGGCTGCTACACCACTTTAGTTTACAATCCTTCTGGCAAGGTGGAAAACTCCCAAGCCTTACCACCTGCCTGCCACTGAGCCCTAAGGACCTTTCCATCAGCCCTGAGCTCTCTAACATACATTGTTTCCTCCAGCAAAATGTGAGCTCTTTGAATTTCTATTTATATACTCAGTATGTAGCACAGTGTTTGGCACACACATAGTATTTAATATATCCTTTTCCATTCTATTTTAGTCAAAAAATATTTATTTACAGAAGTATTTTAGCTTAATAAAATTTTAAAAAAGGATTTGGACAAGATAATCATAGCAATGCATTCATTCCAAGTCCACTCTTCTATTTAATTATTTCAGGAAGATGCTAATCTTCTGTCTATACACCTTCCCTCCTTGTTTAGGGAAATCTATGTTAACCCACTGCGAGTTCAGAAATTTGGCTGGGAGCAAAAAGGAAGTAGCATAAGGTAGAGTTCATGCCATAAGATATGCCTAAATCCCAACGAGGAAAATCTAACTCAAAAAAAGTGGTTAAAATGGGATTATGACAACATGGGACTCTGCATCTCTTTCCTTTTTGTCCACTCCACATACTGTTTTTTAACATTTCAAATTTCCAGTCCCAATTTGAAAATGATCCTTTTTGGTCCTGTTAACTTGTTTCAGTTTCTGATTCTGCTCTCAGAGCTGCATTGCTTACTTAGTAACTACAGCAAGGCAGCCCAAAGGTCCAGCTTTCCTTGTTGGATCTTAAGACTCTCCACCAATAGATGATTCACTTATCTGGCTGCTTGGCCAACATAGGCTTATAAGGCAGGAATGCCCCTCAGTACAAACCTGGATCATCCCAACTTTGTTTCTGATGATATTTTAGTTGGGGGAGTAAGGAAATCCTCTCCTAGGAAAACTTAAGAAAATGTTTTTATAGTTTGACCTTAGCTGAAAGAATGAACTCCCTTTCTTCTCAAAGTGATAGTAATCGTTCCATTTGCTCAAGGGTGGCTGTGAAATCATCTCTTTTGTTGTTAAATGCTGCCCGTTTTTCTAGGAAACCAGCTCTTTCCTCTTCTTCCATCTTCAACTTAACTTTCAATGCCTACAAAGAAGGAGCCATTAGAAAAAAATTTCACTTGATTCATTGGAAAATATGGCAGATAAATTTATAAATTATCATTCTGTTCTACTAGGGAAGACACAAAGTAGCAGTCAGCAAATTATACACTGCTGTATTCTACATAAACAATATGTACTCTTCCACCTATAGCATATATTTTTAATGTCTTTTTGTGTTTGACCATTTGTGTTCTATAGAGTTGGTACAGCAGTAATCTAGATGGTTAAATTCTTAAAACTAAACTATACAGAACACAAAACAATGTAAATTCAGTGTAGCATCTACTGTAATAGCAGAAGGTATCTCATGAACAAATCAGAATCCTAGGCTTCTCAATATAAGACCTCTTCCTTCAAAAGTTCAAATGCATGTTTATGTTCAAGCTTCAAAGCAGAGGGTTCAAATGTATTGCCAAAAGATCATCTTTGGTCAATACAATGAGCCATATACAACCTCTCATCCCTTGGTCATTGGGATAGAACCTTAGATGAATGGCATTGGGATAAGAGGAACATAGGGAGCTCAAAACCTCAAGACAATACTTACCTGTAACTCCTCCATCTGCTTTGTAGCTGTCTGGTTAAAAAGCTTCAGTTCATCTTTTAGACTTTCCAAGAGCAACTAAAATAAAATAAGATGGAAGGCAATCTTTGTATCAGAAACTGAATACTCATCTATTCTAGTCAAATAGGTATATTGGTGGTTTTTACTCCAAGTAGGACTTGGAAGGGCTTCCAAGCTGAATAATTACCTTCTTCCTTCAGGGAGGAAGCAAGGAGAAAACCCCAACACTAATTAGGCTGGTCCTTTGCATCATATAGTTCATCCCCAGCATGAAGGGAGAACTTTAATAAGGGACCTGAATGAAGAAACTAGATCATGGAATTCAGACTTACTGATAAGAAATCAGTAAATAGCTACCTTCTGATCTTAAAGAGAAATTATTTTTGGACTAGACACCAGTGTTCCCTTCCATTAACATGGATAATCAAAGGTCAATTTATACTTAGCAAGTTTAACATAGTACAAGCCCACTCCACTGAACTATTTTGACTATGATCAGTACATTTAGTATAGAAAATGTTCTTCTTTACTTGCTTCCCACCCATTTAAACCCAGCCCCTCACCACAGACTCCATTTGACATTTCACTGTTTCTTGCTGCTTTTCCAGGATCTGTCTGCCTGTAACTGATAAACATGTCCCCAGTGAGCTAATTGATAACCGAAGTTCTTGCTCCTTTATCCTACCCCTCACCCCAACCCACTCCCAATGCTTTGAGCACCCACTATGTACAATAAACTATGTTAGATACTTTGGGGATGAAAAGTATAAAATACGTTTCATTTGAGATGACAAAATATAGCAAGTCAGTAAACATCTTTTGAACACTTACCATTTACATGGCACACAAAAAGTATATCCTATGTGCTAAGTACCAAGTTATAAGCAATCAATCCTACTCAGAATTTGCAGGAAATAAGGATAACCTTGTTATCACTATAACTAATAGGTATTTGCTAACTAGGCAATGAGGTAGTGCAGTGGATAGAGTACTGGACCTGGAATCAGGAAAGACTTGAGTTCAAATCCTGCCTCAGATGGTTACTAGCTATATGACCCTGGGCAAGTCATATAATCCGTCTACCTCAATTTCCTTATCTGAAAAATGGAGATAATAATAGCATCTATCTCCCAGGGTTGCTGTGATGACAAAATAGGAATAATATTTGCAAACCACTTTGCAAATCTTACAGCACTATATAAATGATAGCTATTATTTATGTTAACGCATTATTAAATGGAAGCAGCTGATCAAAGCCAAAGCTGCTAAAACCCTATCAGTCCAACCTCCCTCCCTCTTTTCCTTTGTCTTCCCCACCCCCCACACACACACTGAATTTTTGATAGCAATAACTTTGTTGGAAACTTGACGGACAGTTGTCAAAGGGCAAATTAACAAGCATCATGACAATGTGGGGCCCAACTCTTTCAAAGTTAGAGTTATTGACGAAACTCTAGAACTTTTCATAGAAAGGTTCAGACATAGGCCTCTCACCTGGGTCGATATTGCCACTTTCCAAAATTGCCAAGTAGCTATCCTGAGATTTCTCCAGCAACTCCACCTTTTGAGTCAGCACCTTCACCTCTCCCTGTGAGATCACAAACAGTTTCAAATCAGCCCTGCCTACCAGACTTGGCCTCTATGATTTCTCCTTTTTGGGTAGGTGTGGCACAAGCTTGATCTTCTCTATCTCTGCTCTGAGTAACCTTGTCTTTGGGCCACTTGAAGGGTCATCCCTTAGAATTCCAGATAATTTTTGTTCCACATGATTGGCTTCTTACCTGGCTTTCAGTCAACTTCAAGTGTAACTGCCTGTTAACTGCCTCTAACAGCTGGTTCTTCTCTTTGAGCTCTTCCTCAGCTTTATGTTGATTTAACGGTCTGTAGCTACAATGATAATTTGAATTTAGATTGCACTTTCTTTTTTAAAAAAGCTAAAAACACTTTCCAGTTGGTAGAGATGACAGCACTGCTTAAGTAATGCTTTGTGACATTAGAATAAAAGGACACTAAACATGAAAAGAAAAGCAGTTTCATTTGCCCCGAGATTCACCTCTTTTTAATGTTCTTCTTAACAGCAGGATCCATAGTCTTCATCTGCCTGGAGAGTCAACAATACAGAAATAAACCAGTGAACAACCTGAGTGTCATTTGCACTGAGAATTATTGACTGTTAAAGATGCAAGGGCCCTTAGCAATCTTTTAACTCTTTCTTACTATGAATATAATGGAAACAAGCACAGAGACTCTCATAGTCTACAGGGAAGACTGGGGACTACAAGCTACATGAGTGTCATGAAAGGGACTTTCTCTGAAGTCCTCTAAACTTACTTCTAACCATCTCCAAATCTCAGGGCTAAAGTAAAGCATCATTTATTTCAGCTCAGACTGGTAGAAGGCCTTTGTTAGTAGAACTCTGGATTTCCTACTATAAAGGGAATGGGCTAACCAAAAAATCCCATCCCACCGAGATAAGATGAGTTTAACTTCAAAGTTACGACTCCATTCAAACAAACATGGCTTACTAATTGGTTTGTTTCCAGTTCCACTTCCACTACACTATAACTGCTTTTTGGTAAGGAGACGTAAAAGGTTGTGATGAGAGAGGAAAGGAAAGCTTCAAAACACCTTATGTTAGAGATTTCAATTTGTCTTGTCCAGAATAGACCTTCCAAGGGGGTTGGGAGACTGACTAAGGAATTGTACACTGCTCAACGGCAGTGTACAATAATTCATTTGTCACGTCCTACTGAAAACCTCCTCTTCAGTTTTAGGCCATTTGGAGTCATTTCTAATAAAATTATCCATTTGAGTGCAATCGTCTGTTTCTATCTATGTTCTGACCTCTGCTTGGTGGTTTTGTACAATTCATTCTCTAGGCCTGTTGAACTGAGAGCCTTGTGGAGTTCTACCTCCTTGCACCGCTGGGGTATCTGACTCTTAGAAGCAGCTCGAGAATGTGTCTCTGTGAAAGGAAAATTAAGAGGGTGAAAACCCAACCAATATGACCCAGCTCTAACCCAAATCATCATAGTGAGTGTTTTAATCCAAATTGCCAAGTCCTAATCTAGTCAACTTCATTCGTTGAAGAGCAGCTTTGAGTCACTCAATTTTAATCTCCTTGGGGTAAAAAGGCCATATCTAAGTCACACTACTTGAAATAGTACATGGGCTCTGTGAGTGCTCATTTGAGGATCTCCAAGACTGGAAGAACAGAGGATATAAACGTAACTTGGTGCTTAAAAAATGCAAAAGGAATAAGATGAAAAAAGGAATGAAGATAGGAAGGGGGAGAATACAAGCTTAAACTCCCTAAACACACAATAGCTATATCTCATAACTTGCTAGAACTATTTAATATCTTAGCCACTTTATTTCATTCCTTTTAAAAAATAAATTTTTATTAATATAATTTTTTAAAAATTTAATCGTTTTAAAGTAGACACTTCTTTTATTCTTTTCAGTTCCAAATTCTCTCCTTCTCCCTACCCACTCCCTCTTCCCCAATCCATTGAGAAGGCAAGAAAAACAAACCCCATTACAAATACAGAGTTATGCAAAACAAATTTCTACACCAACTTGTTCTAAAAAAAAGCAAGAAAAAGAAAGAAGGAAAAAATATGCTTCAATCTGTACTCTTGAGTCAATCAATCATCTTTCTAGAGGTAGACAGCATTTTTTGTGGTGAGTCTTTGGAACTGTGGTGGATTATTGCATTAATCAGAATTACTAAGTCTTTCAAAGTTGATTACCTTCACAATATTGCTGTTACCATACAGATTATTCTCCTGGTTCTGCTCATTTTGCTTTACATCATCAGTTCATACAAGTCTGGGTGTTAGAAGTGGGATTTGAACCTTTCTATTCATGGGATCACCTTAATTGAAGCTCACATCATCTTTCACCTGAACTGTAACAATAGCCTCCTAATTGGTCTCCCAGCACCCAGTTTCTCCCCTCTTCAAGCTCCCTAGCCTGTAATTTGAAGGCTCTTCTTTCTTCCCCTTTTTCAAAATCAGGACAATTGCTGACTCCAGTTCTATGGCACCCCTTCCATTGTCCAAAATTTTTCAAAGATTATTTATATCAGTTTAGCAATCACCTCCACCATTTTTTTCAAGTACTAGCTGTAGTGGTAGTTCAGGCCTGGGGACCTGAGGGCAGCCGGATGCTTTCTTTTCAGTTCCAAATTCTCTCTTTCTCCCTACCTACTCCCTCTTCCCCAATCCACTGCCTTACTTGTCTTTAATTTCAATTCCATATGAACCACATTAGTTCCATTCTGCCCCATCTATATTTGTACGGGTAGAGAGGTGCCACTTTTCTGGATTTATCCTAATACCTACTTTCTCTTGCACTTTTAACATATGTCTTTTAAAAGTCCAAGTCAGTAGTTTCTCAGTGTATCCACATTGGTCCCCCCTTTTCCCAGCCCTTTGCAAAAGCACTGTGCTAAAGGCTAGAGGTATGAAAACAAAAAGAAAAACAGTCTTTGCTCTCCAGACGCATGCTTCTCATGAGGGGGAAGTTGGAAGAGGAGAACAAGTTATGAAGGGCTTCAAATGCCAAAGAGGATTTCATATTTGATCCTAGAGGTGATAAGGGGTCACTGGAGTTTACTGAGTAATCAGTGACATGACTATGTTTCCTATGTTTACAAAGAGCATTTTGCCAGCTGAGTGGTGGAGGGACTAGAATGGGGAGATCAACCAGTATGCTATGGCAATAATCCAGGTGTAAGGAGAGGAGGGCTTGCACCAGGCTAGTGGCAGAGTCAGGGTAGAGAAGGGGGCATGTGCAAGAGATCTTAGGTTGTAAGCCTGGGTGACTAGAGTACCCTCCACACAGTAACAGGGAAGTTAGGAAGAGGGGAAGGTTTGATGGAAAAGATCATGAGTTCAGTTTTGGACATGTTGAGTTTAAGCTGTCCACAGAACAACCAGTTGGAAATGTCCAGAATAGGCTGTTGGTGATGTGAGAGTGGAGCTCAGCAGAGAGATTAGGGCCAGATAAGTAGATCTGAGAGACGTGTGCATAGAGATGATAACTGAATCCATGACAGCTAATGAGATCCCCTTGCGAAATAGTAATAAAGGGAGAACAGAGAAACCCACATGCCAACTCCTTTAAAAGACCTTTCTTAGTTCTTCTAGTTAATTAATATGCTTTATTTTGCAAGACCCGCGTTCAAATTTGACCTCAGCCACTTTATAGCAGTGTGACCCGGAGCAAGTCACTTCACTGCTATTTTCCTCAGTTTCCTCATTTGTGAAATGGGGATAATAATAGGGTTCTTGTGAGGATCAAATGAAGTAACAATTGTGAAAAGCTTAGCACAGTACCTGGCACGTATTGAGCGCTATATAAATATTAGCTAGTATTATTATTTATCTGGGTATCACCCCGCCCCTCGTGACAGCCTCTTTTTTTCCTCTGTATCATCCGAAGTCTCTCACAAGACCTAGAACAGAGCGCTCACATTTCGGCCCGTAGACACGGCGGTCTCCTCCCCGGGCCACAGTAGGCGCTTTGTGAACGCCTGCTAAGGAGCCCAGGCGGCCCCCACTACTCACCCGCGGGCTGCCCTCCGCCCAGCGCCGCCGAGGGGGCCGGGCAGGTAAACGCACACCTGGCGGTGCTGGCTCTGCAAGCGGGGCCGGGCTGGAGCCTGGAGGGAACGGGGCTGCGTTAGAAGAGGCGCTCGGTTGCCGCTCCTGGAGCCCGGGCCGGCTCCCCAGGAACTCGCCCGAGGAGACCCACCCTCCCTGGGGCTCAGCCTGCTGTCCCCCGTCCCCGCCTCCCCCACCCCCAGACTCCTGGCCCCCGCCTCCATCCGGCCCGTCTCTCACCCAGCCGAGGCCGGATCCCCCGCTCCTGGGCGGGAGCCGCTCTCCATCACCCCTCGGACTCCACAGAAACCGCCAGCAGCACGCCCCTCCGTTATTTCAAACAGAAACTTCCGGTGGAAGGGGGCGGGGCGGGCTCTGCGTCCAGGCGGCAGCCATGGTGTACGGAGGGAACTGTGGGAACGAGAGCTCTGGGCGCCGCCATCTTGTACGGCTGGCGAGGTTTCTGGAACGTTACCCGAGGTTTGGAAAAGGCTGGGGGGACATGACCGTAGGATTTCGAGTTGGAAGGGACAATAGCGTCGCAGATTTAGAGCTGGAGAAGGCCTTGGGGTGCGGGCACGGTGACCTTTAGAAACCAGGTGGTTGTAATGACGTTCAATATTATAGAGTCCTAGATTTCCATCTGGAAAGGCCATCAAAGACCATCTAGTTCAAGTGCCTCATTTTACAGATGAGGAAACTGAGGCACTGAGAAGTTAGTTGATTTTCCCAGGGACACACAACTAACTAGTAAGTGTCAAGGGTAGGATTTGAAGCCAAGACTTCCCGACTCCCAAGTCCGTTGTCCTCTCCACTACATTGAAGTGGGTTTAATAAAGAATTGGAAGATCTACCTAGGTATGTCCAAACCTTGTCCTTTCTCAGTCATCAGTGATCTCAGACAACTCAGCATCAAATGAGCTAATGTATATGGAATGACATTGTAATCTTAAAGCAAGGATCCTTAACTTGGGCTCCACAGACCTCCAAATGGGTCCATGGATGAGGTTTGATTTGATGAGGTTCATGAACTTGGATGGGGAAAAAACACATTTTTGTTTTTACTAACCTCTAACTGAAATGAAGCCATTCCTTCAGTTATTTTTATTTTATTTATTTTATTTTTAAAATATAATTAATTTTTGGTTTTCAGCATTCACTTCCATAAGATTGAGTTTTAAATTTTCCTCCCCTCCTTCTCCTCGCCCCTCCCCAAGACAATGTGCAATCTGATATAGGTTTATATTAAACATATGACATGTTAAGCATATAAATATGTGACATTCATATTAAACATATTTTCACATTAGTCATGATGTAAAAAAGAATTAGAACTAATGGGAGGAGCCATGAGAAAGAAGAAACAAAACAAAACAAAGAAAAGGAGAGCAAATAGCATGCTTCCATCTGCATTCAGACTCCGAAATTCTTTCTCTGGATGTGGATGGTATTATCCATCCTGAGTTTTCTGGAGTTGTCTTAGATCCTTGCATTGCTGAGAAGAGCTAAGTATATCAAAGTCAGTCATCACACAGTGTGGTTGTTACTGTTTACAGTGTTATTCTGCTCACTTCACTCAGCATCAGTCCATATAAGTCTTTCCAGGTTTTTCTGATTCCTTCAATTATTTTAAAGCAGCATTCTGAGAAAGGATCCATAGGCTTCATCAGACTGCCAAAGTGGTCCATGACCCAAAAAAAGGTTAAGAACAATGCTAAGGTTGTATAAAAGTGGTACAATGGAAAGAATACCAAACTTAAAGTCCTATGACCCAAGTTCAAATCCTCATTCTGTTACTTATTATCCTCATACAAATCTTGCCTTTGAGGATTTGCTGCTTGCTACCTATGTGACCTTAGTCAAGGTTATAACTTAACCTCTTTGGACCTCACTTTTCTCATCTGTAAAATAAAAAGGACTTGGACTTGATGACTTTTGACATCCCCTACAGCTTAGGATTTGTGATCCCAAGATTGGATGACTTATAAGATCCATTCCAACTCTGTATCTAGGATCTTGTGTTGTTGTTAATCATTATTATTATTGCATCATTATTGCATTTCTTGGTTGCCAAAAACCTTCTTGGATTTGGGCATAAAGTCCAATTTCTTAAGATTGGGAAAGGGTAGAAAATTAAGGAGGTTGGTGTTACAAATTAATTTGAAAGTATTATTGAATTAATAGAAGCTTTTTTTAGATTTTAAAAAATTGTTTAATTTTTATTGCTCTTTTGTCTTTACATTACTTTTATTTCTGAATATGTCTTCCCTTCCTCTTCCCCAGTTTATACTGTATTCATTGTAATAAAGAAAAAAGAGAGAGGTAGAAAGCAGTTCAAGAAATTAAACTACATCAACTGTGTCTGACAGTATATTCAGTGTTCCACACTGATGGTCCTCCTATCTTTGCATTTAAATTTTTTCATTTAGCAAAAATCTATCTTCTTATCTCCCCTCATCTAATCTGTCCTCCCCACCAAATTAAGAGCCAAAGAAAAATAAAATCCCTGTTATAAGCATGTATAGTCAAGCAAAACAAATTTTTGCATTCACCTTGTCCAAAAAAAAAAATTTCCTTTTTCACTGAGTCTGTCACCAGGAAAGGGATAGTGTTTCATCATTAGTTCTCTGGAATAGTGTTTAGTCATCGTGCTGATCCAAGTTATTAATTCTTTCATATTGTCATTGTATTAATTGCTCTCCTGGTTCTGTTCACTTCATTCTGCCTCAGTACATACGAATCTCCCCAGGTTTCTCTGAAACCATTTTCTTCATTATTTCTTGAACACAACAGTAGTCCTTCATGTTTATATACCAGAACATATTTATCCATTCCTCAATTTATAAGCACCCTTCATATTCCCATTCTTTATCACCTTGAAAAGAGCTACAAATATTTTTGTACAACCTTAGTTTGTTTTGCTTAGTACTAATCCCTCCATTAATCTATCCTCTCTCCTATTCACCCCTCTTCTCTTTTTCCTATTTCTCTATTGTGTGAAATGCATTTCTGTATCCAACTCTGTGTGATATGAGTGAGATTGAAGCATCAGCTGCCCACACCCCCACCTCCTTGTTATGTCTACTTGTGTGCCCTGATTACGTAAGATAATTTCCCCTAACCTTTCTTTCTCTCTCCCTTACATTGCCCTCAGTGTATTCTTCTTCCCCTCTCTTTACATCCTTCTCTTAAGATCATCAAGATATAACAGAACCACTTCCATGTCTTCTGTCTGACACTTGACAGGTCTCATAAGGGACACATGTATCATCTCCCCATATTAGGAAGCAAGGGACTTGTGTATTCCCTTCGTATTGTTTATTTATTTGCCTTTTTAGCTTTCTCTTAACTCTTGTGTTTGAACTTTGAAATTTCTACCAAGCTGCAGACTTTTCATCAGGAATGCTTGGAAATCTTTTATTTCATTAAAGATCCTTCCACCTCCACATGCTCCCATCCTCCAGTAGCATTATATTCAGTTCTGCTGGGTAAGTTATGTATCCTTTGCTTTCTGGAGTATCGTGTTCCAAGTTGTCCATTCATTTATAAATCATGCGTGAGTCTGACTGACTCCTTGGCACTTGAATTCTTTCTTTTTTGACTGCTTGTAGTGTTTTGTTTTGTTTTTTCCCTTTGTTTCTAGTATTTTCTTTCACCTGGAAGCTGTAGATTTTGGCTATAATGTTCCAAAGCTTTCACTTTGAGGTTTCTTTCAGGAGGTGACTAGTAGATTCTTTCAATTTCCACTTTGCACTCTGGGCAGTTTTCTTTTAAGATTTCTTGAAATGTTGTGTTCAGGCTTTTGTTCTGGTCATGGCATACAGATAGTCCAATGATTTCTTATTCTTCAATTTGTTCTCCTTGATCTATTTTCCATGGTTGTTGTCTTTGCTATGAGATACCTTACATTTTCTTCTATTCTCTCGTTTTTTGACTTTGTCTTGATATTTCTTGTTGCCTTATAGTCATTGGCTTCTATTTAGTATATTCTGATTTTCAGTGTTTGTTGCTTCGACAAGGTTTTGTCCCTCTTGTGATAAACTGATGATTCCCTTGCTAATTCTTTCTTCCATAGCTCTCATTTCCTTTCCATATTTTGATTTGTGTTCTCATTTTATTTATTTTTTGTAAGTTTTTAAGTTTATTTTAACCTTAAATACAAAATTAGAAAAGGAAAAAAAATTCCATGTACACAGCAGAACATAAGAGGATTCAATATAAAACAATAAATTTCCATTTCAAGAAAACCTATATAATATTCATTTCATTTAGAAAAAACATTTTAAACTTGTTTCATCTTGCTTCATCTCTTCCAGGAATTTTAGTTGAATTTGAGTCCAAGCTCTATTTTTCTCTGAGGCTTTGCTTGTAGGTATTTTAGAGTAATTTTCTTCTTCTGTGTTTATCTTGAGTGACCTTGCCACCATAACTGCTCTTTATGGTGGGAATTTTTTGTTTGTTTGTTTGCTCGTTCTCCCAGCCTACTTTCTGACTCTAGATGCTAAGGCTAGGCTTTGCACACATGTGGAGGGAAGGTCTGGGCTTGTGCTGCTGTTGATTTCTTGGGGCACCGAGTGTTGTATTATTCTAGGAACTCAGGGACAGTGTGGAGATCTACAAGCTTTCAGTGTTCCCAGGGTAGTCTGACCTAGGGCAAAGTCACCCTGATCTGATCTCTGCAAGTTCCTGATCTGGGTTTGACTTGAGCAACGATGGAATGCTGTTGGACTCAGCTCTCATCAGCCAGCAGGAAAGCTTTGTCAGCTCCATAATGGCTTTTCCTCTGTAGGCTTCAGATGGAGCTCGATGCTAGAAATGAGATACCTTTCTGCTCCTTGGGTCTGAGCCAGTGAACAAACTCCTGCTTGTTTCTGAACTTTCTCCTTTCTTGGTACACCACCTATGATCTCCTTACCTGGGAACACCACTCCTGGGTATAGATCCCCACTTAGTTTGCACTGGATCTGTGGCCTAAAATGGGTAGTGGCCTCCAAAGCTGCCAGTTGACACCTGCTTCTGCGCCCTGCACAGAGAGTTCCCTGGTACGAGTCTGGGACCTCCTCTTGCCCTAAGAGAGAACCTCTTCCTGGGCTCCCATATGCAGCACACTCCTGGCCAGATCCCACCCCAGCGTCTGCAGAATTTTCTGTCTGTTTTTGTATGCTGGTCTGGGCTGAACAGATGACTCACTATGACTTTTTCTGGATTTTCCCATCGGCATTCAATGTGGTGCATTTTCTAGATCTGTTTGGAGGAGTTTGGGATGATGGGGAAGTATGGCTGTACTGCTTCCTGCTTCTTACCAACATGGGGAAAGCAAGGCCTTTCCTCCTTCC